CAGTTTAAATATTTGAATTAATTAAACAGCATGAAAAATGAAAGCTATAGCTATTCAGTGGGAAAATGATAAAAATAAATTGCCTGAAAAAGTGTAATACACTCTGCAAAAAGCATACACTGTCAGTAAATCATTAGATTGTGTTTCTGTCATCAAAAATTTATTTTCCCCCTCTTTTTTTTAATTCCCACCTCCCCTTCCACCCCTGACCCATGGATGTTGCCATTTCTCCTTACGAACTGGATCTCTGAAGGCACCCGGGGTCTCGGGCCTGGGGTCTGGGGCCTGGCACACCCGGGGAATAGTTTGTGGCTCCCCCTGGGGCACGAACCTATAAAGCAGATATGCTAACCACTACACTATGGAGCCACCCCTTTCTGTCATCAAAATTTACAAGTAGATTTTAAATAGATTACTGCATCTTACACAGGTAATTATTTTCCCTTCTCATTTCTTCTTATCACATCCCAGAAGAAAACATTAAGGTTTGTTCATTTATGAGGTAGAAATAAAACTGAAGGAAAGAGAATATGAACTTTTTCACTTGTTTCAAAAAGGCCCTGCATTATTGATAAAGGTGAATGAACTTTGCTACTTTTTGATGGCATCCTTTTATAAAAAAATTAATATTGGCACAGAGATGATTTAAAAGCAAAATCTAAATTTTCCTTTCTAGATAAATCAATTTCATGGACATGTAGATATAAATATAACATATTGTACTTTTGTTATGACTTTAGCAAGGAAGCAAAAGACATATAATTTAGATAATAGTTGATTTTACTTTCAGAGATTGAGTTGGAAATGACTTATTTTGTGATTCTTGAACATGTAACTTAAATGATCAGATTATACTTAATATATTCCTAATCATGTACCTGTAACTCACATATCCATTATAATTTATACCACTCATTATAACTAAATGGTAACCTTAATTTATTAAACATAAACTATTTAGGTATAATAAAGAATTTTTAAAAGCCAGGGTAATTTTTATTTAATATTTCTGGTATAATTTTCTTTTCCAAAACGTATGGGAAAAAGATAGCAATTTGGTTTTGTTAGCTTCAATATAGCCTTTTTTAATCAGAAAATACTTTCCCCCTTCACATAGTTCCGTTTCATAGCTTATTGATTCTTAAATTTGATAGTAAATAAACTCTTAAATCTTCACAAGTTACTTATCTAGGGAAACTTCTTATCTTCCATCCAAATGGATTGACAGGTTATACAGAGTCATTTGTGTTATCATATGCAGGCAAACTGATCATGAAGGTAAAAAAATGGTGGAGAAAGAATAGCATATAATGCATTGTCATGAAAAAAATACATTATTTTAAAATTATCTCTAGTGGACATTATTCATGTCAATAACACTTTCTATTAAAAGAAGTTGAGAGTAATACCTTAAAGTCAAAAGACTTTATCATTTAAAAGTTATTATAAGAACTCACTGATGAATTGAACAACTGATTAGTTGAGTTATTCATTTCTCCCTTCACTGTCTCATTCAACTCTGGTTACCAATTATAGCGCTTGCTGCCGGAGAGTCTAAGAATGGTCTTTGCCTTTTTTAGCTATAATAATTTAAATATTTTCTATGTCTAACAGGGAAGGAAGACTAGTTTAGATGTTTGCAAATGTTTTAGAGTTCTGAGTACATAAAATGAAAAATCTAAATGCACTAAACAGTGGTCATTGACCAGGGAAGATATGAAATGGAATGATTTTTCATGAAGCTGTGATTTCAGAACTGTAACTGTACATATATGATTTTCATTTTGTAGACGATTGCCTTGCTCAGTGTGACAAAGACTGCAGGTCTTACTGCTGTGATGGGACCACACCTTACTGTTGCTCCTACTACGCCTATATTGGGAACATCCTCTCGTGAGTATTGGCCAAACTTGGCAATATCGATTCTCTTTCTCTTGCCTAGTTATGTTTTCAGAAGGTACTAAGTTATAAATATAGGCAAGAAATTTTAAGAGTGGCTGTTGACATAAAATCTTTACTGGAGATAGTAAATACTCATCACTATCTAATACATTAAATTATTTGACAAAATCTTCAAATCAATATACAAAATAAGATATTCTTTTATTGCTTAATTTGTTTTATAATAATGTTTTAAGTAGCCCATATTCATATTATTGATCTTTTTTTAACATTTTAAATTATGTATTTGTCTGCTTTATTTGATTTATAAGTTAGAATTTGTCATTTAATTACGACCAGTTTATTTTGCCATGTATGTATCTGTCTAACTCATCCAGTAGATATCAGAGAAAAGAGACATTAAGAATAAAAAAACAGGTGAGATATGAAATGTCAATTTTCTATACAATGCAAATAAAGCAACTTCAGGAAACAAGTGTAGAACCCAAGATTGGCTAGGCATCAACAATGTAAAGTAATAACCAACTACAAAAAGCAGTGAGACATACACACTTAGAATGTGTTAAGCATTTCTCCATAACAAATTAAGAATTTATTTTAAAGATGCTACTGGGCAAAGGGAAATGGAGAAGCAGGAACTGCCTTCAGGGTTGCATGTCTATAAAGTATACAAATCTTCATTCCTCTATGAAACCTTCAAGTTGAGAAATTAAATGTAGAGAATTAGGAACATAAGAATTTTCTCTATCAGAATCATCTGTGACTTTCAGCTAGTAGCAAGAGTCTAGACTCTGTTCTTCTTAGTTTTTATTTTTCAAGTGAACATCAAATGATTTGGGAGCTATCCTGTTGTGGCTTAACTCATGCCCTATGAAGGCTTAAGTGGAACCAGGGAAGATTAAGCACTAAGGGGTGTCCACTGAGATGTCTTGTAGCTCATTCTCTGTTTCCTGAGAATAGAAAACCTAGTAGAACATAAACTTCTAGAATCAAAGTTGAGGCTGATATTAGAGATCATGTCTCTCTGAATAAAACCAAAAAGAATGAGACTTCAGGATAGTCTTGAAGACCATCATGACTATGTAAGAAATATCAGGCTCTAATAAAAATTGGTGAATAGAACTTAAGCATTCTTTGAAATGCAAATAAGCTTTAAATAAAATGTTTGAAATTTTTCTCATGGAAGATGTGGTAGGAATGAGACGAAATCCTTTCCATACATTAGAGAATAGTCAGAATGATATTTATAGGAATTAATCAGCTCAGAATACCCTAATTATAAATATATAATGATATTTCGCATTTGTGTATCACTTCACACTTTTGAAGTAATTTAAAATACGTTATGACTAAATTCCAATTTTATTTCAAGTGGTCTCCACATGCCAGATACTGCTGGTCAAGGTAGATGTGCGTGGGGGCCCAGCAAGTGGTGTAGATTTAAATAAACTGGCATCAGAGTGATTTTATGATTCCATGGTCCTCTGGCTCCTTGCCTGTTTCTCTGTCCACTAACTACATCATGGTGTGCATTGCGTCATTATTTCTCACCTTATAGCTGCCTCCACCCTGGCAAATATATATAGAAGACATAATTACTTATTAATTGGAATACTTAAAAATTTAAATTTACAGGTGTGCCCTTATATGTTTTACATTTGCAATCAGATTTACATTTTTATGGTACATATTCTAAATCTTTAAATAATTTCACCACTTGGTTAAAGTAAGGAATTAGTTGAGTTGACATATATTTTATGGGTTATTAGGACCGTGTACTTGTAATATTTGAAAAAAAGAATTGTGTTTATTCTAGGAAATAAACACAGATGGTATTATATTTCAGGCAGTTAAAACTGAATTTTCTGTTCAAAATAGAAACCACTAAGTAAATCTCTTGCTAAACAATTCTTAGGGAAAAAAGGAGGGTGGGGGGTGGACTTTAACGTGTTTTCCCTTCTGGATAAAGGAGAATATGTTTTCAGGATATCCAGTTATTGTTTAAGATTTGAAAAGAGTTCTTAACTCCACCCAAAACTTTTTTTAAAAAGTTGTTTGAGGGGGTTGAGAGAAAAGGAAAATCATTCCAAGAATGCTTATAAAAGTTCTTTCATGCACATATTTTCAAATGTTGCTATTTTGGAACTCACAAACTATGTTTTCTCTCTTTCAAGCATCCAGGCACATTTTTAGTAAAATAATTTTAATCATCTTAAAAAGTTAAATTTTCATGGTTATCAGAAAAGTAATAAGGAAGAAAGCAATAAACATAATGGAATGTTATATATCCTAAATGAACAATTTTATAAATTGGTTATAATTTGCTTTCTATTCATTCTGTTTAGAAACAGAAGATATCCAGGCTGAGTTTAAAATGAGCTAAAAAGAGTACAAAATACAATTTGGGTCATTCTAGACTATAAATGGTAAGGTAAGGTACACTTGATCCTGGTTGCTGAGGTCTCTCCCTAGTTACCATCTAAAATAATCAGAGTACACATGTTTAACCCTTAATTTTGTTTACTTCAACACAATTAAACAAAATTTTGTTTTCTCCTTTTTGTTTTGCAAAGTAACCATTAAGAATCATTTTGGAGAGTTCACAAGAGCTAACTTTCAATTTACCTTTCAGTAGAAAAGTCTTATTTTACTGAGGTCCCTCCTTTTTTGATATTTTACCTGAATATGAGTTAATTTTGACAAATAAATTCAGATTCTCCCATCCTTTTTTTTTCCTTTTCTGCTTAGAAATTTTAAAATGTACTTGTGTCTCATGAAAACATTAAAAATTAAACTTTTAAAATAGTGTATCTACCTTTTTAAATTGAGATATAATTGACATACTTATTATATTAGTTTCAGCTGTACAAGATAATGGTTTGATATTTGTACTGCAGTAGGTCTGTTTAATTTAAGTCCATTTAAAATAGCACGTGTATTTTTGATTGTTATGGTCACAGATGATAACTTCGATATAGAAAACTAATAAACAGTATCATTTTCCAAAATTTAAGAATAATTTTACAGAAGTCAATGTATACTATGCAGTCAATTATTTACAAACACATATTGAGTGCCCATAACTAGGGCAGTATGGAGCTAGATCCTGAGATCCAAAGATAAATAAGTGATGTCCCCTGACCTCTAGGATCTCACAATCTAATTAGAGAAGAGAATGTATACAAATAATTCTAATTCAATGAACTAATCTATGAAGTGTTATTAGAGGGCGGGAAGAGTAAAAACAGCTACATGTTGTGTGGAGAGGTCACAATTGCTAACTTTCAATTTACCTTTCAGTAGAAAAGTCTTATTTTACTGAGGTCCCTCCTTTTTTGATATTTTACCTGAATATGAGTTAATTTTGACAAATAAATTCAGATTCTCCCATCCTTTTTTTTTCCTTTTCTGCTTAGAAATTTTAAAATGTACTTGTGTCTCATGAAAACATTAAAAATTAAACTTTTAAAATAGTGTATCTACCTTTTTAAATTGAGATATAATTGACATACTTATTATATTAGTTTCAGCTGTACAAGATAATGGTTTGATATTTGTACTGCAGTAGGTCTGTTTAATTTAAGTCCATTTAAAATAGCACGTGTATTTTTGATTGTTATGGTCACAGATGATAACTTCAATATAGAAAACTAATAAACAGTATCATTTTCCAGAATTTAAGAATAATTTTACAGAAGTCAGTGTATACTATGCAATCAATTATTTACAAACACATATGGAGTGCCCATAACTAAGGCAGTATGCAGCTAGATCCTGAGATCCAAAGATAAATAAGTGATGTCCCCTGACCTCTAGGATCTCACAATCTAATTAGAGAAGAGAATGTACACATCAAAATGTTTGTGCCAGTGATTATTTCTGGATATTGGATTTAGAGAAAACAGCTACATGTTGTGTGTGTGTGTGTGTGTGTGTGTGTGTGTGTGTGTGTGTGTGTGTGTGTATGGGGAAAGAAATGTTTAGAGAAAGCCTCATAAACATTTGAACAGAGTTTTGAAGGAAGAGTAGATATTTACATAAATGGCCACTGAAGAATAGAAGCACACTCCAAATAGAGAGAGTCTTTCTTACAAAGGCAAAGATATAAGAAAGGAATTGATCATGTTATTCATTGTTGCTAGGGAGGTAAGAATAAATTTTAGATACAACATGCAAATAAGTAGGTAAAACAGAAGACGAGCCCTTACTTTTGCATACTTTAATTGGTAGATTACATACATTTATTGGTCATGCCTAACACAACTGAAACAAAATAATTTATTATTTTCCTGGAAACAAGACAGCTGGTTTTATATAGAAAGGACACATTCTTAGACACCACTAAGACAAGGGACAAAAGTGACGAGGCGCCAAATGATGACGATTATTTTTTTTATTCCATAGAGAAAAGATTTGGAATAAACACTTTGAGATATTACACTATTTAGAACCTTTTACGCAGAATATGTGACCTTGAAATTTTTTCTACGGTTTTGACATTTTCGATCACAAGGGTAGGAGCCTCACTATGTTTGGAAATGAGAATTGGGCCAATTCAAGAAGTAGACAATTTCTCATCAAATTGATTCTAAAACATTTCATTCAGCCACTCTTCTCCATGGAAGATAAACATCTGTGATGATTATGAAAAGGGATATTTCAGTTTTTGCTGCTGATGAAATTGAATTGACATTCCCTGGGGAGAGAATCCAATGTAAAGATGTGGTTTTTAGAGCAGCCTTTAGAATTGGTAGAATTCAAGGGAATAGAGGATTTAGTTGAGTCTAATTATTGTTAGACTTTACTGAAAATGAAAGTAAGCTGTTATGAGTAAGAGAATAATTGTATAATATTGAATATGAACCGAAAATGACTGGGTGGGACATAGTGAGCCAGATGATAAGATGTAAGGTTGATTCTGAAATAGATTTTTGCTTTTCTAGTTTGCTTTTATAAAATGTAGATCTGTCTAAGGATTCTTCAGAGCTCCA